GTCGCCGGAACCCGAGGTACGGATGGCAGCACCATTCTCCCCAAGCATCATGGACGTACCTTTGCCGAGGGACTTTAGGTTGCCCGCCATCAAGGAGTACACGGGGGTCACTGACCCACGCGTCCACATGACGAGGTACAAGGCTGCTATTGTAATGATCGGGGCAGGGGACGCCATCATGTGCCGAGCGTTCTTGTCCACCCTGGATGGAGCGGCCCAAGACTGGTTCAACACCATCCCTGATGGGTCGATCCAAAACTTTGGGGAGTTGTCCAAGAGCTTCCTGACATACTTCTCCGGTAGCATACAGCGTAAGAAACCCTTCTCTCACCTCTGTGTAGTGAAGCAAGATAGAGGCGAGAGCCTCAAAGACTTCCTGATAAAATGGAAAAAGGAAGTCAATAATGTCTACGACTTCGACTCCAAGGCGGCGATCCCGATATTTATCCATGCGTTAAGATCAGGGTATTTCCACAAGCAGTTGAACGCCCACCACCCCCGCTCTTACGAAGATCTAATAAGGACGGCTAGCCGCTATGCCGAAGCAGAGGACGTCGACAGAAAGAAGAAGGACAAAGAGGATGGAAGGAAAGGTGGGAAGCCTGGGAAAGCGGGTCCGCCCAGCCAGGCACCACCCTCGAACCACCTGACCGCAGGGAAAGGCCGAGACCACGAACAACCTCGCCTGGTCCCCTTGCGTAATCTAACTCCTCTTACCCATCCCGTCAGTGTCATTCTACAGCAAGCTGAGGAGATGGGAATGGTAGAATTCCCCGAGGAGTGCATGAAGGTCTCCCCAAAGGCAGACCAAACAAAGTACTGCAGGTTTCATAGTCAAGCCGGCCACGATACAGATGAGTGTCACATTTTGAAGAGACAAATAGAAGAACTCATCCAGCAGGGCTACTTTCGGCATTTTGTCAAGCGATCCAAGCAGCAGCAGCAGCAGCCGCAGCGCGATCCATTAAAAAATCCACCAAAAAATGTCTGGAGAAATGAGGATTTCACCGAGCCGTCCACCTTGAAAAAAAGAGAACACGACCAAATATCTGAGCAGAGTGATAGCGAGAAAGAAACCGAGGTGGCGCCTAGACGACAAAAGAAGCACACCATACACTTTATCTATGGTGGACCTGCAGGGGGCGACACGCCCGCGGAAAGAAAGAAGTGGAGCCGACGGCTATACGTGGAAGAAGTGGCGAGTCCTCCCAGAGAAAAGAAACAGAGACAGGAGGCCATCACCTTCTCTGATGATGACCTCCCAGAGGGCCCGTTACCCCATCGTGACGCCCTGGTAATTGAGATGGACGTCAACGATGTCATTGTCCGCCGCATCTTAGTCGACACGGGAAACTCAGTCAATGTGATGTATTACGATGCCTTCACCAAGTTAGGGATACTTAGGAACCAGCTCAAAGAAGTACGTACCCCACTCTCTGGATTTACGGGTGATTCAGTAGAGACGGAGGGGTCAGTGGTCTTACCAGTGGAGATAGGCACGAGCCCTAACATTCGCAAACTTGACTTGGAATTCATCGTGGTAAGACTCACTTGTGCGCACAACATCATATTGGGGAGACCGGCATTGGAGAACCTCAAGGCCATAGTGTCGGTGGAACACTTGTGTATGAAGTTCCCCACTCCGATCGGGATAGGGGTCGTTAGAGGAGACCAATGAGCAGCCCGTAGTTGTTACGTTAAAGCATGCAAAAAGATTGGCAGAAATGATCCATAAGTCCACACCATCTGTAAAGATAATCGATCGGGTATGGAGCAAGGAACATTTGATTAAGTATTTTCCTTAATATTCTAGTAGTCGTTTGGGACTAGTGTTTGGTAATCGTGGTCCGCCCGCTTTGCATTCTGAAATCTTTTGGAATAATATCTCGTGCTTGTGGTCCGCCCATGTTGTTTCCCAAAAAAAAAAAAAAAAAAAAAAGGAACGAGTCGCACGCCCCAACCACAGGTTGGCCGAAGCGCACACCTCGGCCACGGTTCGGCCGAGGCGCCCGCCTCGGCCAACGCCGAAGTCCGTCTCGGCCAAAAAAAAAAAAAAAAAAAAAGGCCGGAGCCTGCCCCAGCCACGATCGGTCGAGGCGACGCCTCGGCCGGAGGCACGCACCTCTGCCAACCTAGGCCAAAGCCTATCTCGGCTAGCATAAGATATAAAATAAAATGTGATTAAAAAAAAAAGAAAAAAATATAAAATCACATACACGGGATCAAATAAAATCACATATCCTAAATCAAGCAGGATTCTACACAGGATCAAGATAGATTCAGCCTTACTCCCAAGTCAACTCAAACACATCCGTTGACTCAGGAGTAGGGGGGACTGGTGACAGGATAATAGGGCTGGCACCCGACCCGGATCACAAATGAGCATCTGACTCAGCATCACATGGGAACCCAACGGGCAGAACTCCAACGGTTAGAATCCTACAGGTGTCACATTTATTATCATTGAAGCCACCTTTGATGCCACCATTGATGAGAGAGAGTTAAAGCCTCAACGCCTCATTCATGACTCTTCATATTCTTGCCGTTAGCTCAGCTCCCCAAGGATGTCTCTTCATGTTGTTACCGTTAGGACCTAGCATAAATAGAACTTCCCTCAGCTGAGCTGGGGACACACTGTACTTTCTATACTGGGACAAAAGGCAATACAACTATTGTCACTTTCTTATTCGTCACTTTACAATATATTTCCGGTAACATTATTACCGTCACCGTGGAAACATACTGTGAATCCATTTAAAATAAAATAAAAAATTATTATTTTAATATGATAACATCCACGTTAGTAAACTAACGAGTAAACATGTCACTTTTAGTTCAATTGCACAATTTTACGTGATTCATGGATCCAATTATATATATTTTTTAATTCAGTGACATAATTACATTTTGCTGTGTAGTTCAATGGTCTATTTGACTCTTATTCCAATGGAAAATACTTGGTGTACTCCCATTTTAAATTCTCAACTTGTACTCCCTCTCACATGTTCTTGATGTAGACATTGTGAACCCACATGATAAAATAAACAATCCTGATTTGCCACCTCAGAGAGTATAAATGAGGGAGTAGAATTTTAAGAGTCTGTAGTAGAACTCTATTCCAATACTTTTTCCGTTTTCAAATCAATCCAAAAAAAATGGAATTATTTATGGACGTTTTGCAAAGGACCACCAAATAGCATTAAATTACAATTATACCAGATAAACCGACATCCAAAACATGAGACTCTTATCGGTCTTCCGTTCACTCCACCACTCCAACAGCAAAGCTTACAGTGTCTCAACCCGCTTCGCCGCGGGCAATTTATATCCTACACCACGGCGCGCGTTGCACTGTGCGTCCAGATGCAAAATGATGTCGTTTTAAATTTTTTTTTTTTTTTTTTTGAAATTTCTCGCTCCAGTGAATAGCAGTAATTTTTTCTTTAAAAAAAATTCGCTGTTCAAAAATGTACATAATGTTATACTAGAATACACATAATTGTATACATGAATGTACATAATTATATAACAAAATATACATACTCTTTTTAAAAGATAATACACATAATACATAATAAACATAAACTTTTAACATAATATACATCAACTCTTAACATAATACACATAATTGTGTGAACAAATACACATAATCCCAACAACTTCTTACGACGCCTTCCAAAACGACCCAAAACAACGTCGTCGTTTTGGGAGGCGCGCGGCGCATCACCAGCGCATCACCAGGACTATGTGCGCCGTGGTGTAGGCTATAACGCCCCTTCGCCGCCCGTATCCGCTCAATGGCCACCGCTACCGATGCCGTGAATCCGTCAAACACCCGTCTGGGATGGATTGGTACCGGCGTGATGGGCCGATCAATGTGTGCCCACTTGATCAAGGCGGGATATAAGCTCACCGTCTTCACCAGGACTCCGAGCAAAGCCCAAGAGCTCATTTCCATGGGGGCGCAGTGGGCTGACACTCCGAAATCCGTCTCTGCCCAATCGGACGTTGTATTCTCCATCGTCGGCTACCCCTCCGACGTCCGCCACGTCATCCTCGATCCCAACTCCGGCGCCCTCTCCGGCCTTCGTCAAGGCGGCGTCGTGGTCGACTTGACCACCTCCGAGCCCTCCCTCGCGGTTGAAATCTACTCCGCCGCGACGTCCGCCGGCTGCTCCGCGATAGATGCCCCCGTTTCGGGCGGCGATCGGGGAGCCCGCAACGCCGCACTTTCAATCTTTGCCGGCGGCGACGAAACCCTTGTTCAGCGGCTCTCCCCCATCTTTGCCCTCATGGGTAGAGTTTATTACATGGGTGCCCCTGGAAAAGGCCAATTCACAAAACTAGCTAATCAAATAACCATAGCTTCGGGTATGGTTGGGCTTTGTGAAGGCCTTATATATGCCCACAAAGCTGGTTTGGACTTGGAATTATATCTCAGTGCAATTTCAACTGGAGCCGCGGGCTCAAAATCATTGGACTTGTATGGGAATAGAATACTGAGCAGAGATTTGGATCCTGGATTTTATGTGAATCACTTTGTTAAGGATTTGGGTATCTGCTTAAAAGAATGCCAAAACATGGGTTTGTCATTGCCAGGATTGGCATTGGCTCAGCAGCTTTATCTATCACTTAAGGCTCATGGAGAGGGTGATTTAGGTACCCAAGCTCTTGTTTTGGCACTGGAGAGGCTTAACAATGTATCACTGTCAAGTTCTTCAAAGGGAAAAGCTTAGATGGGTAAAAATCTGATTTTAATCTGGGATTGGCATTTTTTTTATGTCTATCTGGCTATGTATGTTTATGAATTATAGTTTAGAAAGTGATCAAATCCTGTGATCATAATCTGAAATACTTGGTGTGAAATCTAGAGGAGAAAGCAAGAGTATTTTTTCATAGTGTTTATCCAATTTTAAGAGCTTCATGGAACTGCCTAAACTTTTTTTTTTCTTTGGTATTATTTTCCAGATGAAGAGTAATGCATGACTTGCCGATTCTAGTTCTTTGGGTATATGGCTCTGGGTGTAGTAAGATTTTGCGCTATGGAGTTTGGAAACTGCAGCAGTGGCACAGTGCTAGTAGAAATGCCTGATTATTTGTCTATTTAAATAAGATTGTTGGTTTCATTTTTCATTGAAACTCATAGCTAATGTATATTTGCTATAAGAAACAATGGTAGAAGACGAATTAATGATTTAAAGTGTGAAACTCCTTTGGTAACTTGAAAAGTGTTTATGGTGAGAGAGGAGTCATTATAATCTAATACTATAGTACATGGGGCTAGTGAGCAATCGTGTAAGTTATCAAGTTCTAGTGATATATTGTACAGGTTAACAGCAAATATGTATTGTGGCAACTAAATTAGCTTAGAAAGATGTTGGAACTATTCTTTTGTGTTAGCTCTAAAATAAGGTGATTTGAAAATTTGAGGCATAGTTTGCCGAAGTTGATTCTGGAGGGCTCCCTTCTAGGATGAGTGGACTTGTGGGGAGACGATTTGAATGATCTTTTCTTTCTTTTTCATTATTTCCTCAGATTTCTTGTTTGCTTGGGAACCAAACTGTGAATGATTTCTTTAGATGACACAAACCCAGATTAGTCTAACAAATATGTTTAGCACGGTTTGCCTATTGGTGAAATATGTGTTGGTAATTGACTTGAGGCAGCGAGTGCTTGGTGAAATATGCATTGGTGATTGACGTGAGGCACCTACTGCTATCTTCATTATGTGATTTAATGCCTCTGAACCTTCCCTGCCATTCTAGAACTATATGAATTTTAGCCTTGAGGTACTAGGAATTTAGGACAAGAACTACTAACTTGATTATGTGTTTTAATGCCTCTGAGTCTGAACCTTCCCTGTCATTCTAGAAATATATGACTTTTAGCCTTGAGGTGTTAGGGATTTAGGATAACTTTTGATGGACCTGACTGAGTTGCATCTTCCTGTAAAGGCATGAAAATTAGGGTCTTGTCTAGAAGATTAGGTATGTGATTTACAAAAGTCTGCAAAGATTATCTGTGTTTTTCAAAAGCACAGTTGTATGTATTTGAAGAGTATGGCTTAGCAAAAGTTCTATGCCAACCATTCTCTTTGATAATTGATAGAACATCTCTTTTTACATTTCCTAAAAGCAGTTGTAAAATCCTTTACCTGGAAAATGTTTTACCTTAACTCTAATGACCTGCTATTACAGACCATTAACCGATTTTTGGACTTCAATGCAAGAAAATAACATATTGATGAGCTTAATTGCAACTTTTAAAAGTTTAGAGGCTTATTTGACCAATTTTCTTATATTTTGTTAATGCATGTTTTTCTAGTTTTTTAATCTAGAAAATATCACTAATGACTGAAGATAAAGTATTTTCCAGCAATACATGGAAAATATGTAATCTGTAAAATATTTTTCTTGTCCACTTTTTCTACATGATGCAAATGCAGTGTAAGTGAGCAGGTGGTGTTGGACCAGGGAAAAGAAAGGATGCAAAGTGGAGGAGATAAGAGGGCAATTCTAGAATGAAGATAGTCTATGATCAGGTACCAAATTACTTTTTTGGTAAATGGAGAAAGCAAATTGCAATTTCTAATTTCCTGTCTTAGTTGTAGCCCCTAGTTTACAATGGTAATTAGGATTTGAGAGTTCTCTCTTTGCTTTTTCAAAGTTAGCTACCCATAACCCTACTACAACTGAATCTTATAGCTGTTGAGATTTACCTGTTGCTTGGAGCTCATAAAAAGTATTCGGTCCGCACACGTGAGGGAATGTGTTGAGCATATATTTCTTGTATATAATCGAGGATTACAATTAAGTAGACATTGAACATTTACGTTTTATCAACACACCATGATTGGTCGAGGAAGAATTTGCATAATGATTGACGAGGAATTTAAGGAAACATTGCAATAATTATACATGTCTTGAGAATTAATCAATTCATAAAGTTTGAAAATTGAACACATAATACTCACATTTACTTTTGAAAGGTTTAAAAATTGAACACGTGATACTCACATTTACTCCGTACTTTTGAAAATATTACCGATTTGAATTTTCAAATATTACATATTCAATTTATGTTGTGTTTGGTTTACGGATATGCTTTTATGGATATTCAGGAGGGGAACAAATTTTTTTTTTTTAAATAATATAAGAATCTTTTGACTATATTCAATTTTACATTTGTATTTGGTTAAACGACCAAATTGTGGGCAAGTTGGTTTAAAACTCTTTAAAACACTCGTCAACAAATGCCTTGTAAGCGAGGCGAACCTGAATAAACAGGGCTATATTTAATAGGAATAATGTTCAACTACATTTTTTTTTTTAGTATACAAATATGTAATTGTACCATGGAATTTTTAAAAATACAATTGGATGAATAATCTATGTAGTTAAATCAAAATTAACCTATTTGATTAGTTATTGTTGATTGTTGATGTATCGGTTAATCTTTTTTTTTTTTAAAAAAAAACTTTTTTTAATTGTTTTTTTTTTTAAACTGTCTTCGACTGGAGGCGAAGGCCGGTCTTTTGTCTTCGGCTAGAGTTGAAGGCCATTCATTATCTCTGGCAGGGAGACAAAGGTTTGATTTTTATTAAAAAATAATTTAATTTAAAATTATTTTAAAAATTAACCGATGGTTAACAATAGTCAATTTTGGTTTAATTGCATAATTTTAAATTGTTCATGAATCCAATTGTAATTTTTTGAGTTTTATAGCGCAATTGCATATTCACGTGTAGTTCGGTGGCTCATTTAAATATTATTCCTATTTAATATGGCAAATTATACAATGGACCAGTGTATACCTTGCATTGTAGACTCTGGTTCAAAGTGATATTCAAATTATGTCTTAATTGAATGCACATAATGTGTTAACTACAGTAATTTTTTAATCAGAGATTCACAATGTAAGGTCGACTCTGGTCCATTTAATATGAAACAGTTTGATTTGAACTCTAATTATTATTATTATTATTATTATTATTATTATTATTATTATTTTATAAGTGTAAATATAAAATGAAAACATAATATTTAGTTTAAAAATTGGTCAAAATATAATACGTAAAATACTCAACAAAATTCAAAATTTAACTTCAAGTCTTCAAGTAACCTTCTTTGTGTATATTTGGATACAAAATTATTCACCCTCGATATCAAATTCTTCTAACATTATATTTTCAATTTTAAACCAATCTAAGTATAATATATATATATATATATATATATATATATATATATATATATATGCTCGTAAGTATCTTCACTATCTTGTGCCACACTAGTCATGTGCTTCCCAACATGCAGTGTGCGACACAACGTGTCGTTATATTCACTATTTTGTGTTGCACGCATTGATAGATAAATAGAAAAGTGTGATGATATTTTTATAATTAAAATAAAATACGGAGTAATTATTTATAAAATATTGATTGTTTTCTATTAATAGTAATATTCATAATGGTTTTTTAGTATTGTAGAAATTGCCATAAAGATTACATATATTTTTAATTATATAGTTTAAATTTTTAATTATTAAACTTGTTGGATGCGTGAGTTGATTGTAAGTGTTACGTAGTATATATATTACAAAACGGGTAAAAACTTGTGTGAGATTGTTTTACATATCCTTATTCATACTACAGATTCAGTTAAAATAAAAATGTAATACTAATACTAAAAAATGTATTACTAATAAGGAATAAAGTATCCATTATAAAGGAAATGTAATACTTTTACATTTTAATTTTAAAATATTACATTTTTTAAAAAAAGTATTACATATTCTATTATAAATAATAAACACTTTATTTTTAATTAATATTAAATCTTTTAGTATAAGTATTACCTTTTAATCTTAACCGATCTCAATTCGTGAGACAATTTGATTGCAATTTATATCCTGCACCACGGCGCGCGTTGCATTGTGCGCCCAGATGCAAAACGACGTCGTTTCATTTTTTATTTTTTTTTTGAAATTTCTCTACCCAGTGTTTGACAGTTAATTTTCGTTTTAAAAAAAAATATCTCATGTTCAAAAATGTACATAATGTTATATTAGAATACACATAATTATATAACAAAATACACATACTCTTTTTAAAAGATAATACACATAATCTAACATAATACATAATAAACATAAACTTTTAACATAATACACATCAACTCTTAACATAATACATAAAAATTTCTTGATTCGAATGTACATAATTGTATAAAAAAAATGTACATAATTGTATAAAAAAATGTACATAATAAAAAATAGACATAATTGTATAAACAAATATACATAATCATGTCAACTTCTTACCGCGTTTCTCAAAACGAGCGTGGGACTATGCGCAGTGGTACAGGGTATAACGATCGTAAGAGAGTTACTCTACAAAAGGATATCATAATTGATTTCAATTTATTTTTAATAAAATTAGAATTAAGTGATGTGAACATTTTACCTTTGACTTTGAAAAGTATAAGTATTTCTTCCGTACCTTTTATGGTTTGAGTAGAGTGGATTACGGTGTATACCTTTGACTTTGAAAAGTCGACGCCGTCAAGGTTATGTTCAACAAAGGCAAGTAAGTCTGAAACTGCGGCACAATTGCGTCACGACTTTGGATTGTCGAAAAAGAATGGGGGGCCCATTTTAATGCACGATATTTAAAAGCTGTAATTTAACTTTTTGTTCTTACTTAACCTCAAATTTTGGCGCCATACCCATACTCAGTTTTGCAAGAACCAACTTTCTTGGCTTGCATTGCATCCCAGTTCCCAAATAAACCTCAAAATGTCGAAACTAACAACCCAAATCATCCTCATACTTGTACTCTTCTTCACTTTGCTCTTTTATGGAAACTGCCAAAGCAGTTTGAATCCAGAGAGGTCAATTTTGGTTGAAATAAAGCACCATTTTGGTAATCCATCCAATCTTTCCCACTGGACTTCATCCTCCGATCATTGTACTTGGCCGGAGATCACCTGTGGAGATGGCTCCGTCACCGGAATCCGGCTAGCCGACCTAATGCTTAACCAAACCATCTCACCATCCATATGTGACCTCAAAAACCTCACCATTCTTGACCTCAACCACAACCTCATCCCTGGGCCTTTCCCTGTAGCTCTCTACAATTGTTCAAATCTTGAATTCTTGGACTTGTCTTACAACAGCTTCAATGGCTCCATCCCCACTGATATTAACCGCCTTTCTCCCCGCCTCACGGCTTTTAACCTCTCCTCCAACTATTTCACTGATGGTATCCCACCATCCATTGGAGGACTTAAGGAGTTAAAAGAGATTCAGTTTACCACCACCTTCTTAAGTGGCTCTTTCCCGCCAGAAATTGGTGACTTGTTGAATCTTGAAATTCTGGTTTTGGACAATAATGCCTTTGCACCGCAGGAGATCCCGTCCAGGTTTACTCAATTGAAGAAACTGAGGAATCTATGGATCACAGGTTCAAATTTGGTTGGAGAAATCCCTGAGAATATCGGCAACATGACAGCTTTGGAATACTTGGCTTTATCTCAAAATAGTTTGAGCGGTAACATTCCGAACAGCTTGTTTCTGCTTAAGAATTTGACAATAGTTTACATCTCTGTAAACAAATTGTCAGGTTCTATTCCTCAGTCAGTTGAGGCCTTGAATTTGTATTGGATTGATTTTTCCAATAACACCTTAACGGGCGAAATCCCTCAAGACTTTGGGAAGCTGACAAAACTGGAGGGGTTGGTTCTGTTCAT